CCCCCAAAACCCCAAAACCCCAAAACCCCTAGGCGAAGATTTAAGTTGGGAAATAATAATTTTCACTAAAACATGGAATTCTTATCGAATATTATTGCACAAGCAAAGAAGGACGGATTGACTGATCTGGCTGGTAAAGGTATCCAACTTCAGGTCATAGAGGTTGATAGTGCTACTCAGGGTGATTCTGAAGCTCTTTGAGAGTGGACTAAGGTGATGTTATGGGATGGAACCGATCAGATCAAAGCCAAGATTAAGACTGATGTATTTACCAAGATGACTAAGAATATTGAAAAATACTCAGTGATTAAGTTCAACGCATGCTGCTTCTCTCAAGAGAAGAACACCAAAGAGAAGACCTTAGTAGTAAAACCAGAAGTAGAGGTCATAAAGCAGTATGCTCATAAAATACACTCTGAAGAGGAAGTAAAGACTGAAAAGGCTACATTAGCCACTTGTGCTAAGAAGACTACTGAGATAGAAGATCAGAAATAAAGAAGATACAGATTTGGTCAAGGAGATTCAACAGAGGATCAAACTTCTAAGCTTAGACGATAAGGATGCTGGTAAAGATAAAAATGACAGAGGAGATGATGATGAAAAGAAGAATGAAGATGAAGAGCATGATGACTCAGAGAATGATGATAAAAGTCAACATGATGATAAATATCAATATTTGCCTATTTCTCAGATAAGCGTATGTCATAATTATCAGAAAACAGATTGGGAGGTGAAAGCTAGAGTTGCTGAAGTCTCTAAGATCAAGATCTTCAACAATAATTGGAGTTATCGGTACAGAGGTCAATCTTTTAGAGTAGTCAACATTATCCTTTCAGACTACTACACTGGAGATGAGATTGAAGGAGCTTTCTACAATGAGTTAATCGAGAAGTTCTTCAATGTACAGAATGGAGATATAGTTGCTCCTACATCAAACCCAGATCATATCCAACAAGGTTGAGTGTATATCATCTCAGGTTGTACAATATTGGACAACAAGATTACCAGCCCTATAAAGCACAGAAGAAAGCTGAATTTCAAAGAATACTCTGTTGTGAAGAGATGTGAAGCTCCTAAGAAGAAGTCCAAAAGAAAGGTCAGTTTTACCTACCATCACAATCTTGAGAACAAGATAGGTAAACTAGTGAACATATCTGGAATTGTATCGAAGATAGATAAACCATCTAATGAAGAACCTTCTGAAGCTACTTCAACAAGTGTCTCTCTTGATTTACTGATATTTAATAGCTCAGAAGAAAAGGATTTTGAAAAAGTTAGCCTGCAAATTTGAGACAAAGAGGCCACCATTGTTGGAATCACAGAAGGAGAGGTTATATTTGCCTTGGATTGAGAAATCAAGAAGGAAGGAGAATTACTTCAAATTTTGAGCAATGTACAAAACATAAGAAAGGGCAAGAGCATTGAAAAGCTTGGATGGACAAAGAAACTAAAACTGGCCTATCAAAACATGGTTACAAAGATTGCTTTAAAAGAAGCTCAAAGCAAAGGAAAAGATTGACTAGAGGAATCTAAAATTGAAGGGTCTACTATAAAATGTAAAGTAGTTATTCCGCCAATAAATTACAGTCAAAATCACCTACTTTTTACTCAAAAGTGAAAGACTTGTAAAAATTATCAAGATATCCAAGAAGATAATAAGATCAACAAAGAAGAGTTTTGCAAACATTGCAAGTTTGATTCAGAATTCTCACTTGAATACAAAATCCAATGCAGTATCGTCCTTGAAACTGGAGCTACTTACCAGTGTGTCATGAAGAACTTATGAGCTCACGAGATCCTACCAAAACCAGCTTTGAAACTCTTCAAAATGAGTGAAGATACAAGAAGAGAGTTACTCGAGACCTGAACTAAGGATTACTCAAAACTAGATTCATCCTCTACAAACGACTCCTTCTGTGAAGTAATCCTTGACAATCCCTTACCTAATGAGCAAGACGAAGTCCCAAAATCCTACAGTGAAGACATAGATACCAAAGATACCCAGACCTACTATGAGATCAAGCAAATAACATCATTACACTAAGATTTCAACTTAGATATTTCCAACCGGGGTTTTGGGGTTTTGGGGTTTTGGGGTTTTGGGG